GCGGTGTGAGTGAGGTCTGTGAGGGGGAGGAGTGTGGTCGTTGAGATTGGTAAGAGAGAGCAGATTTGTGTGGGCATGCCTGTAGGAGACCGCGGAAGGAGAGAGAATGAGGAACGCGGTGTGAGTGGGAACACTTAAAGTATGCCGTAGGAAGAGGGAGAACGAGGAGCAGTGGGAGGTTGGGATTAGTGCAAACAGAAGAAAGGAAAACGGGGTTGAGAGTAGAGGTATGCTGGGAAATTAGAGAGTAGGAAAGGGAGACCTGTGGAGCTTGCATGGTGGGAAATTACATATAGGTTGCCGTGCCTTAGTGGTCGACAAGGGGAATTTGTGGTTATGTGCATGTTAAATATTACTGGATACACTATAGGGGGAACGCCGACATTGGTGGTTACGAGTAGAGAGAGTAGTTTGGCCACCGATAGTGGTGTTAATCGGCAGATCCCGACGGATAGGGGGCTAGGTCACCGATATTGGTGACGGGAGAGAATGATAACTGTGTGTGTGTGGCCCATTAGAGGTCGAGAGGTGGCTAATGGTCGTCGATGTTGGTGACGGGAGAGAATGATCATTGTGTGTGTGTGGCCCATTAGGGGTCAGTAGGTGGATGATGGTCGCCGATGTTGGTGACGAGAGTGAATGATAATGGTGTGCGTGCGTGGCCTAGTAGGGATCGAGAGGCGGATGGTGGTCGTCGATTTTGGTGGCGGGTGACAATGTTGGTATGCTTGGGGTGGCGTTGGGGGACGGTCACCCTTGATTGGTATGATCGTTGAGATACCGGGGTGAGCTTTAGCCCTGAGTAGTTCCATAGTGATAGTAAGGTGGGGCTTGGGTTAAGTAATGAAATATAGGTAGAAGTATGGGGTTTTATATTGTTGCATCTCATACCTGTAACTTGATTCTTATTGTACTGAGTTATATGGACTCATTCTTTATTCTTTACAGATGATGTAGGAACAGAGTTCGGATCGAAGTTACTGGTGTCTGAACCTAGTGTATAGAGCGACAGGATAAAAATTTTCTTTTCTTTGACAGATTGAGTGTGTAAAAGTTGATAGTAGTGTAGATAGTGAGTACGGTTGTATTGCATGCAATGTCTCGTGCATGATTATAGGTTTATCTTAATATTGAATATGAGATCGTGATAGTGTTTCTATATGCATGACTGATTTGATTATGGAATTGATTGTTTTAATTACGCCATTAGACATGAAAAGAGGAAAAAGGAAAAAAAAACGGGGTGTTACAGGAATTCAAATCAGAATCCTTTATCCACAAAGTCTGTAAGTATATTTAGTAGCTATTTTGAAACTACATTCGAATGTTTCAAAAATATTTTCAAATAAAAACCTAATTAAGTTTTGAGTAAGATTTATAAAATTAAGAAATCAGGATTGATAATCAAGTAAGTGAAAGAAATTGAAAAATTGAATTAATTTGTCATTTGCTTGTTGCTTAATTGTTGAATGAAGATTGTATATTTTAAATAATGTATGATGGTTGATGGTTGATGTTTAATGGTATGATGAGTGAAATACTGAGTAGAATATTAATAATAGTGCATACTTATCAATAAGATCATGAACACATAAAATGACTCTCATAGAGAAAATAAGATCAACACAAAAAAATACACATTCTTAAATAAAATTAGGAATTCTAAATAAAATTAATAAAATTAAAAAGTTAAAAATAATAAAAGTACTAAAATATAAATAATAAACAAAATGACAACTAAATAAATTATAATAAACGTGATAGTGTATGATTAAGGGAAGTCAATGAATAGTTCCATGAGGATGGAAACGAGACAAACAGTGAGAATAAGAATAGTGGGAAAGATAGAGCATGATCAATTAAGGAAGTGTACATAGTCTC